GGTTGATGTATCAGGGTAGAGTAAAGAGAATGCAGATTTATTGCTCAAGATGGAAGAGGGCATCCGATTAATAAGATAAATTGAAGTGAGAACAAAATCATTCCAATAAGGCTTTGGTACATGCATGTTAAACATGAAAGTACGAGCAACATTCAATAAATAACGATGTTTGCATTCTGGAACACCATTTGTCGGAATGTGTGTGGACATGTAGTCTGATGAATAATACCATGGTCAATGCAAAATGTACGCATAAATGATTATACATAGTTACATACTCAAGGGCATTATCAGAATGAAATATCTTAATGTGTTTATCAAATTGTAACAAAATTTTATTATAGAAGGTGAAAAACTTTAGGTTATTCAGAACAATTCTTCATAAAGAACAATTAAGTTATATGAGAATAATAATCAACAAATATCACAAAATAATGAAATCTAGAAATACTCTTTATTTTTGAATGACCCCAAATGTCAGAATGAATAATCGCAAAAGGACTACACTGGCGACTCGTACTACTAACAGGAAAGGAACTACAGTGATCTTTGCCTAATTGATGAGCATCACATTGTAATAGAATAGAATGACTCAAACTAGGAATGACTTGACAAAGTATTTGCATCGAAGAATGACCCAATGGAAAATGCCACTAGAGTGGAGACACAATAGTTCTCAAGATAGGAATTATAACTCTGGAATTCAAATAATAAAAGTTATTCTGCTTATGCCCCGAACCAATTACCTTTGCTGAAGGTCTTGAAAAACGTATGAAAAGGGAGGAAAAGTCACTAAACATTGTGAATGTGACGCTCCAAAATTCGAGGGTCCGTTGATTATCCATCAACCTACGGAATACTCGTGGATACCGAGTAATTCGATATCACGCCATTGTACCCCATTTACCGGGAACCATAATTTTGATAAAATTCGGGCAGAGTCTCCTTTGTACGGGAAGCTCTACCCAAAACTCAACTTGTGCAATCATATAATAACAAGATCCATCCGAGGTCCAATATTCAACAATGATCACACCGGGTCCAATTATAAGTAAACATTGGCCACACCGGGTCCAATTATCCATATTTATATCAAAACATACAAGGTTAGTTTAATAATAGTCTATATAAGTTCTATTACAATTTATTTGCAAAAGATTATATGCCCAAAACATTATTTTCACAAATGTTTTACATTAACACAAAATAAAGTCACATTCGGCTTTCTTCAAACACGAGGGTCCAAATTGGAGCGCTATCCACCGGTGTATCTCTCCCACCTGAAATGTTTTTTACATATGAAGACAACTGTTGGATGACTGGATGAGTTGAGTGGTAAGTTCATCATGAGTGCCAAATGTAGATGTAATATGTCCATCAATCGAGGACTGAGAGATAAGTAGATTTGGGTCATCAGAAACTTGATTAACAAAAGCTGGTTTACTAGCAATAATCCTTAGTATGTCTATTAACTCCACAATGAGTACATTTCCGCACAGAACGATTGCCACGTCCATTATGACCACCACGTCCTCCTCTACCAGTACCTCTACTACTCAGAGCTGGAGGTTGACCACCTCCATGACCATCATTATGACCACTTCCATGACCACCATGACTAGAGAGTAATGCATAGGAATGATGTGAGAGGAAGTAAGTCCCACAGGTTAGAAGGGCTATCTGAAGGCGGGAATAAGCATTGGTAACAATTGAAAGTTTCTCATTAGCCGAAATCTTAGTGTTATTTATGACGTAAAACGAACCGAAGCGACTAAGGCTCCTAACGCCTAGGCGAGAAGCGAAGCGAAACGAAACACTTTATCGAAGCGAACAACTAAAAAAAAAAGTAAATATTTTAGTTTAATTATTTCTAAACATCAAAGTTCTAATTTTATATATACTAAATATTTAAATGCAAGTAAAACAAAGGATCAAAATATCGTTTTAAAACGGTCAAAACGTCCGAAACATTTCTGTTTTTAAGGAGACCGAAACGAAACAGTGATGAAATCGAAATTCTGATATTTCGAGGTATTCCATAATGTTTTTAAATATATTAGAATATTTAAATGCATTTGTACAATTGTTTTAGAATGTTTCAAGGTATTTCAAGATATTTTGATATATTTTCATCAATGTTTAAAAAAAATAATTTTTAAATTTTTTATTTTTTTTATTATATTTTCGAAACTGGTTGAAACGTTTTCGAAATACGTCGAAATATTTTCGTTTCTTAGGTGACCGAAACAATATTTTGATCCTTGAGTAAAACCATAAACATTTAAATTAAAACAAATACTAATAATATCTCAAATCTTAATAACAGTCGTAACTGAAACATTTAAATTTATATTGACTGGACAACAAAACAAAAACAAAATCAGGAGAGCAGTAGAATTAGCAAAAAAAAAAAATAGAAACAAAACAGGAGTAGAATTAATTGTAAACAATTTCATATGTACTGAATAACAGAAGTAGAACAGGAGCATATTCATATTGAACGACACATTCATAACAGTTGTAAACAATTTAATATTGATTGAAGTCTAGACAACAAAACAGGAGTAGAATCAGCCAAAAAAAAAAAAAAAAGAGCAGAATCAGAAAAAAAAAAGTAGAAAAAAAAGAACCAGAAGAAAGAAGAAGAATCAGAACCAGAAGAGATAAAAAAAAAAGAGAAAAAGAGGAGACTTACCTGTGATCAGCGAGGAAGTAGGAACGAGGAAGGAGCAGCGATCAGTGAGGAAGGAGCAACGATCGTGTCTGTCGACTCTGTCCAGCGATCGTGTAGGAGTACAGCAGTGAAGCCAATCTGAGCAAATTAGGGTTTGGGGACTGTATTTATGGGATAAGGAAGTAATTCGATGTATCAGCATCTTATAATTTCTTTTCCAATTGCCCAATTCAACGGTCCATAATAAAAATAAAATTTCGCCTTGCATGACTAAGGCGTTCGCTTTTTTGAGCAAAAGGCGCTTGTTTTTTTCTCGCTTTAGTCACATTCGCTTCGCCTGGGGTGGTCAAGGCGAGATACCTTCGCTTCGCTTTGCTTCTCGCCTAGGTGAACTACCTTCGCTTCTCGCCTAGGCGAGCTTTTCAAAATACTGCAAAATCTGATCTTTGAACACTCTGTATTCAGAATTAAGACTAGATAAGAATAGGGCAACGTAAAATTCTTCACGTTACTATTGTTGTACCTCTAGGTCTGCACTCAATGCTGACAAAGCAGAAGTTCCTCACATAAGCTTTTCAAAGTGTCATAATGCTCAGCCAGAGATTTATTGCTCTGCTTGGTATTAAATATATGCTCAAACAATTCATAGATTTGAGATACGTTATGCTTTTGACAATACATCTCCTCAAGAGAGCCCCCAATATTTTTAGCAGTATTAAGAATTTGAATATTAGAAGCCATTGATGGTTCCATACTAAACTATAACTAGGTCATCACCAAAGAATTTTCACTGTGCCGGTCTTTTTCACCAACAGATCTCTTAGGAGGGCTTTTAGTCAAATACTTGACTTTTCTTTTAGCACACCAAAACATATTAATAGCATGAGATAAAGAATGATAGTTGATTCCATTTAGCTTAACAGAAATAATCTACCTAACCTGGTCATCCCCATAATAGACCTGTCGACATGAGTCCTCCACTAACATTTTTTTAATCCTCAGAAGTTGCCATAGTAAATTCCACAACCAATTAGGCACTAAAAAGGAATAGGAGACCCAAGAAGTCCCAAACAACGACAATCGCAAAAAAAACAACCAAGGACGAAGTCGAAGAGGTAGCCAGAAAAACACCAATTCATTGTTGAATAAAACCCAAAAGAAAAATGACCAGATTGCCAGACACAACAAGAGGCCTCAAAGGGAACCAAGATGCCAAAACAATACAACAATGAACAGATCTGGAGGTATAGACACTGTTTTGATAGTAAACCTTACAGCCGACACCTATTTTCACCCAATCGACATGTCAGCAAAGCTAGCCATAGCAAGAAGCCTCGGAGGGAACCCAGATACTAAATAATGCAAAACTGAACAGATATGAAGGGTTTATACACTGTTCCGACAGTGAACAGTGTGTCCGATGACTCTTGCACCCAAAAACTTGTCTAAAAACAACCACAGAGGACTACGGAACTCCTGAGCTTCTGCCCTAGGCCAAATCGGCACCCCAACAAACAGATCCAAGCATCCAATCAGGAGAAATAGGTCCAAAATCACAGATTTAAAAATTGTGACCTATTTTCCCTAAAAATATTCAAAAATATAAACAAATACCTCGTTGGCCTTAAAAAATTTAGCAAAAATCACCACGAGACTCCCATGCCAAGTTGACTTCGACAGCATGCTCCGGTGGTCAACAATTGCTGACGTCATGTTGACATCAGCCCCTGCTTGATGATGTCAACAACTGTGAGAGGTCCCAAATTCTTCAACAATGTTTTATCTCAGATTATTGCCCTGATACCAAGTTGAAATAGAAAATAATATTGGGGTTAGAGTCGTGGAGAAAGAGAAAAGAAGAGAAGAGAAAAAAAGATTGAAAAGAATAATCTCTTGTGTGTGCAGGCTACGTTGCCCTACACCTTTTTATTTATAACTAAGCAATGTTTAGGGTAATTGCAATATTATCCTACACTAATTAATTTATGATTTAATATACAAAATAAAAACTCTAACAACAATATTTGGAGAACTCATANTTTATTTATAACTAAGCAATGTTTAGGGTAATTGCAATATTATCCTACACTAATTAATTTATGATTTAATATACAAAATAAAAACTCTAACAACAATATTTGGAGAACTCATACTATTGGCAGATTTGGCGCATTTACCATAATGGTTGTAATTCTCCACTATTATTTTGGATGCTTTACTCTCAAACAATACATATTTTGTCTTATTGGTTATGTTCTGTTATTTTTGTATATGTTGGTTCTCAATCATATTTACTTGATATGTCACTTTTCAGACACTGCAAGGAATGTTGCTCAGCTGTACATATGCTGTTCTTGACTATGCACAAACTGGTCTAGTTGCTGCAGTGTTTTTCTTTAAAGTGAGTATAGTTCACATTTGCATAATTTGATAGCCTGTTGAAGATGGTATTTATAACAAGCCTTAAATGATTGTATATTATTCTTGTTGCCATGATCAGCTTTTCATGTTTTGCCTGCTTGACTGACTAGTGAATGTGAGACTTGAAAAGTGATAACAATCCAAGATAAAAGGAGAGTCAATTAGGAGATAATGGGGGATTTTCTGTTGACTTAATATTCACGGTTTTAGATTTTGATTCAGTTGGTCAATTGGCCATTTGTTTACTAATATGCCGAGGTCATTAACTTTTCTGATGACATTGCAACTGTGCATTTCGAACCCAATCAATTATCTCTTGAGAAAATGACAACATTTATATTTTATTGTGCAACATTATGAAGTTTGTGTCAGAATTTTTCATGAAACCTTCAGCAAAAATCAAGGCAACTATCTCTAACATGGTTATCAAATCGTGTATCGGAAGGCGTATTATTTTCGAAAAATAGTGTATTGTAAGATATGCGTAATTCTAAATAATTTTTAATAAAATATATATACCTTTGCAAAAAAAGTCAAAACTCATAATAATATATCATTTCATTAAAATTTTGTCAACTATTCAAGTTTCTAATATAGTTCACTAATATCAAAATGCAAAGACCTCTAATTCAAACTTCGAAGGGGTTTCTAATGTGCGATGGATTGGAGAGGGGTTTTTGCTCTACAATGGATTGATGGGCTTTTGCAGCTTTGTAGGGGGAAAAAAGTTGTTTCTAGTATTTGTCAATCAAAAGAATTGAAGGAGGGCTTTATTTTTTTAAGCCCTAGTCGGTGAAACGACATCATTTCATTGGCTAGGGCTTGAAANAGTTGTTTCTAGTATTTGTCAATCAAAAGAATTGAAGGAGGGCTTTATTTTTTTAAGCCCTAGTCGGTGAAACGACATCATTTCATTGGCTAGGGCTTGAAAAAATAACATCCCACGTGAAATGGTATCATTTTAGTGCCAAAAACCCAAAAAAAAAAAAAAATATTATCAACGTGTATAAAATGTATAANAAAAATAACATCCCACGTGAAATGGTATCATTTTAGTGCCAAAAACCCAAAAAAAATAAAATATTATCAACGTGTATAAAATGTATTAGATGATACATATCATATCTTGTATCGTACGAGATGGAATTACAATTCGTATCATTTTTTTTGTGTATCGTGATGTATTGTGTATCGTACGATACTAATAACTAAAACATCAAGTAAAAGCAAAAGAATAAAGATAACAGAAAAGTATTGCTTTATGTAACTTGTTAACAAGGAAAAAAATTGTTTTTGTTTAAGTTTGTTTATTTTAACATGGTAATAGTTCATCTTTTTCCTAATCCTGTTGAACAATGCATTTCAAAACCCCTACCCCTTTCTTTCTTATCCCTACATGTTTATGCATGAATGTCTATTATTGGTGGTACTAGTATTAAAGTGATCAGAATCCATGAATGTTGTTACATTGATGTGGATTGCTCATAGATGATGGAATGGTGGTACCAATCCGCTGAGGAGAGAATGTCAGCTCCAACTGTGTATCCTCCACCACCGCCTCCTCCACGCCCAAAGGTGAGTGACATTTCATTTATGAGATGTGGGAGACTATTTTTTTGTCAGTGATTGACATCCTGAACATATATTACAACTGTTTCACATTTAAACTTTGATAGCTCTTTTACACGATGTTCCACTTTTATTTGGTCAGTCACTTGCAAAATATTCCACCTTGTTTAGAGTAAAAAATGAATTGAATCAGTGTAATTGTTATTGCTAAATCCATTCAAGGTTTCATAATCGTAGGCAGGCATATACAAGGGCAGATAAATGTGTAGTTTTCACCAAGTGATTAACAATTACCCGCATAACTGTGGCCTCTTTTCTTCACTTTTGGCATTTGTTGTTTTTGACGAATCATTGTGCATTAGTTACACCTATCCAGGTGGCAATCATGTAATTTTATTTAATTGATTGAAATCTCTCTGTCTCTCTCACATGCCCATGCACATGTGCAAGCCCCCACACACAGCAGGTGTGCGTGCACTTATATACATGCGNTGGCAATCATGTAATTTTATTTAATTGATTGAAATCTCTCTGTCTCTCTCACATGCTCATGCACATGTGCAAGCCCCCACACACAGCAGGTGTGCGTGCACTTATATACATGTGCTAACACAGGCAGAGACACAGAAAGAGACAAGAAATCATGCATTAGAGCAACTATTAACACATTTTCAACAAAATGAGCATCCCTTCAAGCTTAGAGGGAGGAATACATTCCTTGATTATCTTTGTACTTAAAAGTTGTCGGTTAGATTTATTTCGAGCAGTTCAATCAATTAGCATAGCATGATTGTTAATGCTATGTTTTCTGAGATGAATTTTAATGNTCAAGCTTAGAGGGAGGAATACATTCCTTGATTATCTTTGTACTTAAAAGTTGTCGATTAGATTTATTTCGAGCAGTTCAATCAATTAGCATAGCATGATTGTTAATGCTATGTTTTCTGAGATGAATTTTAATGCTGTATATTATGTGGTTAATAATGAAATAGGTAGCCAAAGAGGGGATTCCACTTCCACCTGATAGAACATTGTGTTCGTTGTGTTCACAGAGGCGTGCAAATGCATCGGTACTGGTAGTTTCAGGGTTCGTCTTTTGTTATGCTTGCATATTTAAGTATGTTTCTCAGGTGAGATCTCAGATTCTGGTTGTTTGTCTATTATGAGATTGAAGATATTCTTTATTTCTTTACCATATTGGGGGGCATAACTAAAGGCACTAGATGAATAAAAATTAGTCCAAAAGGATATATCATTGAATGGACCTATCATGTTGAAATGATTATTTGATCNGGTTGTTTGTCTATTATGAGATTGAAGATATTCTTTATTTCTTTACCATATTGGGGAGCATAACTAAAGGCACTTGATGAATAAAAATTAGTCCAAAAGGATATATCATTGAATGGACCTATCATGTTGAAATGATTATTTGATCCCACTGCTGTTTCTTTCTTAGCATAGAAGTAGTTGATTTTTCCTTATTTTTGGAACGGGAAATGGATAAATCTAAACTGAGTGTGTCCCAAAATGTGAAAGATGTGTTTATAAGTATCTCGTATTATAATCAGGTGTTATCTCCTTGATATCTGAAAGAGTATATATATGTACAAGTAATCCAGTAGATATGTAATATTCCATTTTGATCTCTGGCCAGGTCCAAATGAATAAACATGAGTTGCATTTTATTTTCATACATCCCATACTTTCTTAAGGTCATGTATCTTGCAGTACGCCCAAGCTGAGGGCAAAATCACCTTGCAGCTTGTTTCGAAAGTCTACTTAATTTTTAACTCCTGTAGATTTCCTTTTATACTTTGTGACTATATTTACACGTGGATATTTTATTCACTGGTTTGCATGGCCACAGTACAAGCGCTGCCCAGTCACATTGATGCCTGCAACAGTGGACCAGATTAGGAGGCTCTTTCACGATTTGTAAAAAATTCTTGTAGGGAGTTGTTTGTAATACTTTGATATATCTTATGCAATAATGAAGTGAAATTCGAGTATCAAAGATGATGAGATGCAGGCGGGAGCATTATATGCCAATGAGAGTAACATTGTGGGTATTGATCACTGTATCGTATGTTTCTTTAACCACACAATATAGTTCTCTTTTCATTGTCCTTGGGAATAATGTAAACCCATGATTTTCAGAGCTGTTATTAGATGGTACTANTCGTATGTTTCTTTAACCACACAATATAGTTCTCTTTTCATTGTCCTTGGGAATAACGTAAACCCATGATTTTCAGAGCAGTTATTAGATGGTACAAGTTAGCATTAGATGCATAATGATTTTATTCATGTTGCCTCAAAATTTTGTTTGGAAATTTGAACTAAAGTTACAGGTAACGTTATTCTATGCTGTGGAAGCAAATGTTGAAAATATGAGGGATGCAATGTTACCTTAAATATCACAATAATCGGCTTTTAGCATGGTGGTAAATTTGATGTACATGCTCTTGGCATTTCGCCTAGCTATGGCTTGAAAATATGTATTTAACCTTCTCATTTTTAAGCAATAGGTTGGGTGTTTTGGATCCAATCGGAAGGAGGTAAAATATTTTCTATGCTAATATGGGTTGTCATTTTGAAATTGCTTATCTGTCACCTGTCTCCAGAGATTTGCAAAGCGACGCCCTTAACCATTATCTATGCATTTTTTTTTCTTATTTTGATTGTAAGTAGTGGAGGTGATGGGTTATAGATTCCTTCCAGTCTGTCAATATCTTTTATTAGTAAATCTCCCATCATAGATCAAGTGGATTCTCCACTAACATACAGTTAGTGATTTATCAAGGAATAAAATTAAGGATAAATTACATTCAAATCTTTCAAAATTTGTCACTTAATCACCTATTTCAAGTCTTAAATACTACACATAAACCCCTTAAAGTTTACATATGCGTAACACACAACCTATACTGTGAGTGTCTGTTAAGTTCAGGGTTAAAATTTCATAAAGTTATCATATTATGCAAGCATAATCCCCAAACTACCCATGAAACCCAGCATCAGTTGATATTCTCCCCGTTTGACTTGATGGGTTGGAGAATGACTAGATAAACACCACATCTCAATATTAGAAGCAGAGTGGTGAACAGGGGATATTTTTCTTACTATTTATAATTTTATTATTTATATGTGTAATTTATTCTTTAAATCTTGCAAATTTTGGTTCTTTCTGTGCATTTTTAAGGTTAAAAAATAGAATCGTAAGCAACAATACCTATTTCATATTCAATCATGTCTTATATTGAAACAAAATTTAAAAAAAACTCATTTTTTCTTTCTGAATGAAAAAACCCCAACTCAGTAAGATTGCCAAGGAAATTAAATCCAAAAACAAAACATCTCAATGATTAAGAAACAATACTTAAAGAGTTACCCTGATGTAGATAAAACTTAGTTAAATTATTGATTTTGGTGCCTAATCCCTTCAACCCCTCTGTCGCAATTTTAGCAACAGTGAGTAGTGAGTAAAGCTTCTCCTTGGCATCTTCATCGTCATTTCTCTTCCGTCGGCACACTTCGAATCCCGGGGCTCCATATGTGTGGGTTAGCTTACTATCAATTCTCGCATAAGTTGTCCCCATAGCCTTTTAGGCAAACTAACTGACTTCCTTGATGGCTTTTGGAGTTTTCTTCCTAATATTCATCCATGCAAGAACTTGCCGAGATTGATGGTGTACTCATCTGGTGATGACCTCTTCTTTTCTTCCCTTACTTTCTCCACCATTTTCACAGCTCTCCCTAAAACCAGAGGAACGCACTATTTTAGGAGAAACCGAAGAGGTGCCGGAGATACATAGAGGGACAGGTAAATGTGAGAATTTGTTTATATATGTAGCCAAAGGGATTTTGGTAATTGCAGCTAAATCCCAAAATATCTTCTAGTTTGTTTGGGCATTTTGGCCTTTTAGTTCATTCCGTTGGTTCGGTTATTGAATCGTTACTGACAAGGGGCCTAAGTGTAATATTTTAAACGTGAGGGAGTGTATGTGATTAAGTGACAAACTTCAGGAGATCTGTATGTAATTTACCATAAAATTAATGAATATATGTAATCCGATTAGATGGATTATCAAATAATCTTTTATCTAATCCTAATTTTACTAGAATGACATTTTTTTAAGATTGCACAGGATTAATTATGATAGTGGGGAATGAATAAGATTATTGGATGAAATTTAGGATGACTTACGAAATTCAAAGATTACTTCTTAAAACAATTGTGTTGTGGGAGGGTGATGGTGATGGTGATAACCGCAACGATAGTAGTGAAGGTAATTGTAGTGATGATGATGGTGGGGAGATGGGTGAAGAGACATAAATCTATGTCACTTGTACAGACAATACAATCAAGTGTTCTTAAAAGGACAGGTCACGNCGGTTATTGAATCGTTACTGACAAGGGGCCTAAGTGTAATATTTTAAACGTGAGGGGGTGTATGTATGTAATCCGATTAGATGGATTATCAAATAATCTTTTATCTAATCCTAATTTTACTAGAACAACATTTTTTTAAGATTGCACAGGATTAATTATGATAATGAGGAATGAATAAGATTATTGGATGAAATTTAGGATGACTTACGAAATTCAAAGATTACTTCTTAAAACAATTGTATTGTGGGAGGGTGATGGTGCTGTTGATAACCGCAACGATAGTAGTGATGGTAATAGCGAAGGTAATTGTAGTGATGATGATGGTGGGGAGATGAGTGAAGAGACATAAATCTATGTCACTTGTACAGACAATACAATCAAGTGTTCTTAAAAGGACATGTCATGTGGGTCACAAATAGAAGCAATGGTACGAGCCAAACCGAACTATGACTGGTCGGTTTATGGTACCAAGCATAATTGCACAACTCAACTTGAAAATATGGCCCAAGCAGAACAAAATGAAAAACGCCTACAATTGGGAAGTTTAGGTGCAACAACTATGCAAGTCAATGACTCAGAAGAAATGAAATTAAGTGAGTGTCTGAAGAGATTTCAATGATCCCAAATAAACATTCCCAAATGAAGGGAGATATGCCATCTCTTCCACCGATAAAAGAAATCCTTGAAACAGGACAAAGTCTATATAAAGTAGGCAATATATATTGTAAGGAGTAAGTAAAATTCTCTTTGGATACATACTCTTTCAATATAGTTACTGACTTAACCATCGAAATACCTTCAATCGAAACCCTTCAGTCTTACATAGTTTATTCATTTTTGCAGAGAGGAATTGGAGAGAGGAATACAATTTTTTTCATCAAACCTAAGAAGTATTGTAATTTTACCACCTACAGTTGGAATGATGACTGTCGTAGTAGAGTGGGGGCGGTGGTGATGACAGCAAGGTGACGGTCATGGGATACAGTGGCAGAGATGCATAAAAAGACATGTCTTAACAAAGTAGAAAGCTTTTATTGAAGTCGTAAATCCATTTCTAATCGTTCTAAGCACAACGTTTTTGTTTCGCTTATTATAAATCGCAAGTCCAAAAAGCACTTTTTTCAAAAAGGAAAGAAGGTAGAAATAGTTTGACATACAATGAAAAACTACCTGAAGAGCTCCACCGGGGTTTGAAATCCTGGCAATGTTGATAAAATTCTCTGTACACTGGTTAGAATGTATGAAAGTTCATCATAACATCTCTGTTAAACTGAAAAATGCATGTAAAACCGCAGCCACACAATATTTAAAGAAATGCATTTCAACCACTAGGAGTTTGAGATATCGATACAGGGAGCAATATAAAAAAAATCACCACAGAAACAAAGCTTTAAGGTGAAGATTCTGTTACTCACCAATTTCACATCACATAACAATACAACAATGGAAAAAGATAAGATCTCCTTCATCAAAAAGAACCAATCCTCTAACAAGTATCCCCTAAACCCTTCCACCAACCCCGNAGGTGAAGATTCTGTTACTCACCAATTTCACATCACATAACAATACAACAATGGAAGAAGATAAGATCTCCTTCATCAAAAAGAACCAATCCTCTAACAAGTATCCCCTAAACCCTTCCACCAACCCTGNTCAACTTGAAAATATGGCCCAAGCAGAACAAAATGAAAAACGCCTACAATTGGGAAAATTTAGGTGCAACAACTATGCAAGTCAATGACTCAGAATAAATGAAATTAAGGGAGTGTCTGAAGAGATTTCAATGATCCCAAATAAACATTCCCAAATGAAGGGAGATATGCCATCTCTTCCATCGATAAAGGAAATCCTTGAAACAGGACAAAGTCTATATAAAGTAGGCAATATATATTGTAAGGAGTAAGTAAAATTCTCTTTGGATACATACTCTTTCAATATAGTTACTGACTTAACCATCGAAATACCTTCAATCGAAACCCTTCAGTCTTACATAGTTTATTCATTTTTGCAGAGAGGAATTGGAGAGAGGAATACAATTTTTTTCATCAAACCTAAGAAGTATTGTAATTTTACCACCTACAGTTGGAATGATGACTGTCGTAGTAGAGTGGGGGCGGTGGTGATGACAGCAAGGTGACGGTCATGGGATACAGTGGCAGAGATGCATAAAAAGACATGTCTTAACAAAGTAGAAAGCTTTTATTGAAGTCGTAAATCCATTTCTAATCGTTCTAAGCACAACGTTTTTGTTTCGCTTATTATAAATCGCAAGTCCAAAAAGCACTTTTTTCAAAAAGGAAAGAAGGTAGAAATAGTTTGACATACAATGAAAAACTACCTGAAGAGCTCCACCGGGGTTTGAAATCCTGGCAATGTTGATAAAATTCTCTGTACACTGGTTAGAATGTATGAAAGTTCATCATAACATCTCTGTTAAACTGAAAAATGCATGTAAAACCGCAGCCACACAATATTTAAAGAAATGCATTTCAACCACTAGGAGTTTGAGATATCGATACAGGGAGCAATATAAAAAAAATCACCACAGAAACAAAGCTTTAAGGTGAAGATTCTGTTACTCACCAATTTCACATCACATAACAATACAACAATGGAAGAAGATAAGATCTCCTTCATCAAAAAGAACCAATCCTCTAACAAGTATCCCCTAAACCCTTCCACCAACCCTGAAGGAAGAACATTAGGTCACACAAGCAAGGAATGTGCCTTACCTCCTCTTCTTATAGAAGATCCTAAAGCAGCATTGTACCAATAAGAATTGTCTGTACCCCTATTCTTTCAAATCCTCACTCAACTGGTGGCCACCATCCAGATTTCTAGCAGCTGCTTGTTTTTTATGCTTCTTACTCTTTGCTTTCTTGGCTTTCATCCTGCGTTTTTTCTCATTAGCGTCCACCCAAGCATAATCTGATGGTATGCGGAATGGGTCAATCTCATCCCTAAAGCTGCGACTTTCACAGTCACTTGATTGCTCGCCTCGGCTTCCTCTCATCCATGAAATCCATGATGTGGACCCCTCTGACTCCTTAGACTTAGCATCTTGAAAATGTACAGGGCTGGAGAGAGGAGTTGAGAATTCTTCCAGTGGCTGAAGCTCCTCAAACTTTGTAAAAGTGACAAGGACCCGAATGGTTGGGACAATTGGGATGGCAACCTGCAATGTGGAAGGCAAGAAGGTTTTAACATTGTTCAAAGCTAAGTGGCACTCGTAGTTAATGAGGTTGTGGATGAGTATAGGGTAAAAGGGGAGGAGAGTATTGTGTTGAAGATTGATTTTGAGACAGCAAATGACCATGTGGATTTGAGTTGTTTGGATTTCGTATTGGAAATAAAAGGCTTTGGGGTGAGGTAGAGAAAATGGATAAATGGATGCTTGGAGTTGACGAAAGTCTTAAATCATTTTGAATGGGAAACACAGGGGCAAATTTAAGGTGTACAAGGGGCCGGGATCCTTTATCACCTTTTTCGTTCACTTTGGTGGTGGATGAGTTGAGTAGATCGATGGAAAGGGCAAAAAGATGTAATTTAGTTGCAGGTTTTGTGATAGGGAGGGAAAGCATTTCAGTATCACATTTGCAATTTGTACCTGATACTAATCATACTACATTCTTTTGGGGGATGAAGAGAAATTAAGAATCTAAAATAGATTGTTAACATGTTTGGTGTAATCTTCAGCCTTGAGGCTAATATGGAAAATGGCATCATTGTGGGCATTAATTCTAGTCAAGAAAGAATTGATAGGTTGACTATGGAGTTGGGGTGATCTGTGGGTGGTTGGTCATTGAAGTACTTTGGTCTTTCTTTAGGTGGTAATTCGATGTCTAGGACTTTTTGGGCTCCTATTATTGAGAACGTTGAGGGGAAAATAGATGTGTGGAAGAGAAACCTTTTCTTTCTAGGGATAGATTAACATTGATCTAATCTGTCTTGCCAACATTACGATCTATTCCATGTCTCATCTAGGTGAAAAGACAAGGGTGTCTTTCAATAGGGCATTTGGTGAATTGGAATGTAACTTTGGTTGAAAAATGGTTCGACAGATTCCCTTTGGAGCAAGATTCATTGTGACATCATGTTTTTAGGAGAAAATATGAGTTACAAGTTGATGGGTGAGATACTAATGGGATTGAAATAGGCATTTTCTAAGTTCGTAAAAGTTCACTTCTTAGGAGTTATCTTGATTTTCTCAAAGAATCAAGTTCATTGTGGGCGATGGATTAAGAACGTGTTTTTGAGAGGATATTTGGGTTGTGGAGTCTTCTTTTGCTGGTCTATTTCCACATTTGTATTGTAGCTCTTGTTATCATCGTATCTGGGTTGCATCTATGATTCAGTCATAATCTCATATGCTCTCCTGGAATTGTAGTTTTCGTAGGAGTCTTAATGATGGGGAATGCTTGGAGTTGATGGTCCTTCTTTCTATGCTTAATGATATTACTTTGACTCAAAATTCGGCAGATAGGGGAGATGTTGAATTGGTAACCCAACGGGTGTTTTGCCGGGTAGATCATCCTTCAAGTCTCTAATTGGTGATACTTTACTTCCATTATTTTATCCAATCATTGAANGAAGAGAAACCTTTTCTTTCTAGGGATAGATTAACATTGATCTAATCTGTCTTGCCAACATTACGATCTATTCCATGTCTCATCTAGGTGAAAAGACAAGGGTGTCTTTCAATAGGGCATTTGGTGAATTGGAATGTAACTTTGGTTGAAAAATGGTTCGACAGATTCCCTTTGGAGCAAGATTCATTGTGACATGTTGTAATTAGGAGAAAATATGAGTTACAAGTTGATGGGTGAGATACTAATGGGATTGAAATAGGCATTTTCAAAGTTCGTAAAAGTTCACTTCTTAGGAGTTATCTTGATTTTCTCAAAGAATCAAGTTCATTGTGGGCGATGGATTAAGCACATGTTTTTGAGAGGATATTTGGGTTGTGGAGTCTTCTTTTTCTGGGCTATTTCCACAGTTGTATTGTAGCTCTTGTTATCATCGTATCTGGGTTGCATCTATGATTCAGTCATAATCTCATATGCTCTCCTGGAATTGTAGTTTTCGTAGGAGTCTTAATGATGGGGAATGCTTGGAGTTGATGGTCCTTCTTTCTATGCTTAATGATATTACTTTGACTCAAAATTCGGCAGATAGGGGAGATGTTGAATTGGTAACCCAACGGGTGTTTTGCCGGGTAGATCATCCTTCAAGTCTCTAATTGGTGATACTTTACTTCCATTATTTTATCCAATCATTGAAGATTTGGAAGCCTGAAGTTCCTTCCTTTAAAGGTGCAAGTTTGTGAATGGATATTGCTCATGATAAGATTAATATAAATGATGTTCTTCAAAAGAGGAGACCTAATTATTAGTCTCTACCTCAATGGTGTGTTATGTACAGAGGTGATAATGAGAGTGTGGATCATTTATTTTAACATTGTCCTTTGGCACAATCATTATGTAATAAGTTATTCAACCTTGGGGGCCTTTCTTAGGTAGCACCAAGGTTTATGTCATCTACGCTATGTTTGGATGAAATGGGGCATGAGGGAAATAGAAAAAGAAAGGCCATTTGGCTTTGTGCTTTCTTTGTGCTCCTCAGACCAATGAATAGACAAAGTGTGCAAACTAGACATTGGGGAATATTTTGGAGAGCCTTTTCAATGAGTACCCAACACTACGGTGATAAACGAGCCGAGCTTGGCAAGCCTTGGTAGGTTTGACTCGTAATTTTTAAGGTCTACTCAAGCTTGGCTTTCAAGCTTAAAATTTTGTTCAAACTTGGCTTGTTAGAAAAACAAACTGTTCAGGCTCAACTCATCCAAGCTTGTTTAAAGAAGCTTTAATAGCTGTGCAAAAATTAAATAAAAAGCAAGCATAGTTTTGGTTTGATAAGTAGGACCATTACATCAAGCTTTAAAATTTCAATACCATTATACATGGACCATTAAAAAAAAAAAAAAACAGGATTTTGTATTGATGTATGAACCATTAAAAACGAGAAAAGAGAGAAACTTGCAACAAAAATCAGCAAGGATTTATCATAACAGTGGATCAGTAATGCTTGGGTTTTGATCTTGTAATGGGAGCACTAGTAATGTACCAGTGGTGCTTGATTTTGGTCACAATCGAAAGAAACAACAATAAAGTATGTTAGGGTCTGAGNGGTTTTGATCTTGTAATGGGAGCACTAGTAATGTACCAGTGGTGCTTGATTTTGGTCGCAATCGAAAGAAACAACAATAAAGTATGTTAGGGTCTGAGAGAGAGAGAGAGGGGGCACAAAGAGTTTGAATTACTTTGGTTAGTCACGTGAGTGACTGTTGGGTTAGTTGTTGACAAATATGAGACAGTTGGAGTGTTACATAAATTGAATAGGAAAATAGTGTCGAGCTTATATGATCCAATCAAATAGCTTGAGCTCGGCTCGTATAACGAGCTTGAAATTTTGTTCATATTTGGCTCATATTATAAATTGAATGAACTTGAGCGAGCAAAAAATGTTCTGAGCTAGAGCAGCTCATTTCATTTAACACCCCTATTTGTTACTATATGAGTTATTTGGATGGAAAAGAATGCGAGAATTTATAAGGATATATGGGAAGAGTTTGAGGGATTATAGAATAAACTTTACCTTTTGGCCTCTTTTTGAGCCTCAGTGACTAAGGAGCATGGTTATCAAAATTTCAATTCGGATCCTAAGATCTTAAGATCCTCGAATCTAGTTTAGGCAAATTGATCTGATTCTCTTGCAAAATCCCTAATTCATAGGATCTTAATGGATCGTGAGTCGGATCCTATACGATCGTAGGATTCCAATCCGAATTGCGAATTTACTAATCCAAGTTATTGGGTTTGCTTGTTAGGTGCATTTAGTTATCAAATTGACCCAATTCGGAATTGTTGTTTGAATACTTAAAGGACTAAATCCCAAATGTGTTTGTATCATATACTTGTCGCGTCCATTGGGAATTTCTGTGAATGAGAAAAGTTACAAAAAGTTCTCTTCATTCATCCATCTCTATCGTTGAAAAGTTGAAAATATTCGTTAGGTTTGATCTCTTCTCTCGGTACGTTATTATAGCAAGATAGTTTTTTATTTTTATTTTCTTCACCTTTTTGTTCTTTGGATGTTGAATAGCNTTGTATCATATACTTGTCGCGTCCATTGGGAATTTCTGTGAATGAGAAAAGTTACAAAAAGTTCTCTTCATTCATCCATCTCTATCGTTGAAAAGTTAAAAATATTCGTTAGGTTTGATCTCTTCTCTCGGCACGTTATTATAGCAAGATAGTCTTTTATTTTTATTTTCTTCACCTTTTTGTTCTTTGGATGTTGAATAGCTAAAGTTGTTTATTCAACAGTCAATCAACTTTCCAGTCTCTCCTCTATATCTATCTCTCTTTGGAAATTAAGATCAAAATACTTCATTCTCCTATTCTTTTTTGCAAAATCCTGCAAGTTTAATAACTCATCTTTGTTATTCAACCCTATTCAAGGCTCAGATTGTAGCTTATCAAATTTAAATCATCTCTCTTAAGTTATATATTAGTCATAACATTTCTATTTGGATATATACTANTGCAAAATCCTGCAAGTTTAATAACTCATCTTTGTTATTCAACCCTATTCAAGGCTCAGGTTGTAGCTTATCAAATTTAAATCATCTCTCTTAAGTTATATATTTGTCATAACATTTCTATTTGGATATATACAAGGCTAGTTTAATTCTTGTTTTTACAAACTATATCTAATTTCATGTGCTTTATGTCCCATTTTTTTTGTTCGTAGGTTCATAGGATTTTCGATCTGAACCTACAATCGCAATCTTTTAGTGACCCCATCGATCTAAGGTAAGATCCCGAGTTTAGAAACCTTGCTAAGGAGTTGGAAGATATTCCTCTCATTTGTATCATTGCAAGCCAGGAAGCACATGTGGCTTCTAGTTCGGCTTTATTTTGTATGTTTCATGNTTGGAAGATATTCCTCTCATTTGTATCATTGCAAGCCAGGAAGCACATGTGGCTTCCAGTTCGGCTTTCTTTTGTATGTTTCACGNTCTTTTAGTGACCCCATCGATCTAAGGTAAGATCCCGAGTTTAGAAACCTTGCTAAGGAGTTGGAAGATATTCCTCTCATTTGTATCATTGCAAGCCAGGAAGCACATGTGGCTTCTAGTTCGGCTTTATTTTGTATGTTTCATGATGAGCTATCATTGTGTGGGACGTCTTGTCCACCTTTGATTTGGTTATTACTCTAGTGATGCCTTTCTTCGTTTATCAATAAATTTTTTGTCTATTTTCAACAAAAAAAAAGATATCACAAAGGTAAACATGGCCAGAAAAAAGGAGGAGAATCATAAACAATATAGCTGATACAGTCGTAGATGGAAGACTAAAGCAGACAAACTATAAACAATGATGACACAAAGTACGGCCACTGTCAAAAGTGGCTAATTTTTGGGAGAATTATATGTTAATGAATGAATCTTGTCAGCCACATTTGGAAAAATTTTGATTTGACCAGGAAGCAAAGATGTTTACAGCATTCTTCCATCTTCATTCCTAATTTTATTGCCTGTTTTCAAGTGCAGACAAAGGCATATGCGGGGCAGTGAACTTTGTCAAAAACAACGAATTGCAGTATAGCTTAAAATAACACCTGGAACAGACAATAAGAAAACTGCTCTCACATAAACCTAAAGTATTCGATACACTTACCTATTCCCTACCTATTCCCTACATCTTTTACACAGGAACATGAAAGGATTACACCTGATATATAGAAGTGTAAAGTTTCTACAGTCTATCACCACATGCCTGCACATAATGTTGTTCATTGCTTTATATACAAGGTATAGACTAATAAGACTGTCCCTATCGAGATAGAACAATCAGATCCGCAGAAAGTCATAAGCCAAAAACCCTGCATGTGCTACTAATAAAACACTGGCATAGAGGTTAATAATGGAGTGAAAACCATAATCACTGGATTAATTTTCTTAGTAGCTGGGACGTGCTGAGGTGTCCAAATGGAAGATCAGCACTCACACACACATTGGTTAAATTTTCAAAAAGGAAGCTTGTATCGACGTGATAAAAGTTGAAGATTAAGGGCTTATTCACCATCATGGTACAAAAGAACAAAGAGACTGCGACTATAAATAACAATCGTGAAAAGTGGAGAAAAGGGTTCATATAGACTCAATTACATCTACATGCCAAGAGCCCGACACTAGGCAAAGGTTTGGTTATATTTTGTATTAGAAGTTATTACGGATCATATGTAATTGAAAAATACCTTAGAAGATGCACATCAAGTAACAACTTATATACAAAAATGAAATATGTCTCTCAGATTTGATTGCCAATTCAAAGCATATTGTTTAAAGTAAGACGAAAGAATATACAAAGATTTACAGACTGGAAGCAGTCAAATATGTTTGAATATAAGTGATCAGTAAGCATTGTATGAGGAAGAAAATTAAGCAGCAGGTACTTAAGCATTGGGTGGAGGAGGGAAATTATCAAATTAAACAGAAAAAAAAATTAGAATCAAATAGAATAAAAGAATACCTTGGCAGGAAATGTGGCAGGAGGTAGTTTAGTANAAAAAAAATTAGAATCAAATAGAATAAAAGAATACCTTGGCAGGAAATGTGGCAGGAGGTAGTTTAGTAGTTAAGAGCTCCCTCAGCCTCCTAATAGCTTTTACCTTGTTGGCCAGGATGTCAAGTAAGGGTAAGAGCTCTTCTGTTTTCAGGGGAAAATCTGGTGTCAACCACAAAACAGGCCTTAAACCTTTCTTATACTCGCTCTCATGCTTAGGCTCACTTGCCGACCCTTTTTTCTTTTTCATCTTGGTGCTTTTATCTTTGCTCTTTTTAAGATCCCCCATATCTTCCTTGGGAAATTCAGACAATGATCTTTGACTATCATTGCGTCGTTCATTGCTCCCTTCGGGAGCCAATTTTGAGAACTTCTGTGGAATCTTTGAATCTTCGAGATCATCACCTTCTTTCTTTGAACCTTTCTGGTTCCAACCAAACCAACTCTTCTTCTCCTTGAAGATAACATTGGATTCACAAGTTTCAAACGAACCCCCATCCCCATTTTCATGGCAATCCTGAACCTGAGGTTCTTCGTCCTCACAAAAACCATGTGAATTCCCCATGCAAAGTGCAGAATCCAACTGCATTCTTTCCTCTGGCGTTAATATGTCGCCATCCTCATTGTGTTCACCCCCATTAACAATCCTTTCATCATCATTCACTGAAAAGAGCTCTTCATCAGTCATAGCACCAGGAACCCTCCTGGACTTCACGCTCACCATAACATGAAGCATATCATAGACCTTGGCCTTCCAGGTTCCAACCATCTCAGTCCTCTCTTGCCGCCTCCAATTCAAATGGGGAACAAGCTCAGCCTGAGTTACATCGATTCCCGGCCTATACATGTTAGTTCGAGACATCATGGCCACTTCATGGGCAACTTCGGCTTCCGATGGTTGAGCACCAGCTCCCTCCAAAGCATTGGTGATCTCTTTTTCCTTGTGAGCAAGCACAATCAAGGAACCAGGAGGTAAAGATATATTTCTATTTTCCATCGTGCATCCCTCTCCAAGAAAGAGAAAAGTTTGATCAGACCGCTGGATGCGGAAACCATCAAAACCTGCAAGGGTCATATCAGCACGGAGATTGGACCCACGTTTCCAAATCCGATATGTATCTGACGGGGCAATCCGACCAATAAATGGAATCACTGAGCTCTCAAAATTAAAAGTTATCTCCATGTAAAAGTCACGAATTTGAGCTGCGGAGGCAACAATTCGAGGAAGCCGACGACACCACTTTGCCCAAGCAAGGGGCTGGTAGTGCCGGGCAATGATCATAGCAATATTTTCCTCGCGAGTACAAACCGCCTCTTGGAGCGCACTCCATCCCTGCTCGTTCTGAAGACTCCAGTCCGCCCCTGCTGCCATCAAAATCTCAGCTGATATCGGATCGCGGAGACGCACCGCGAGGTGCAGGGGGGTCTCGCGGCATGGAACGTCCCGCCGATCAATTACTGCAGACACAGCATCAGCCTGCAGCTCAGCAGCAAGGGATTCCTTCTCTGTATTAACCTCATCAGCCTTGGCAAGTTGGGGGACGGTCGAAATAANGGGGGGTCTCGCGGCATGGAACGTCCCGCCGATCAATTACTGCAGACACAGCATCAGCCTGCAGCTCAGCAGCAAGGGATTCCTTCTCTGTATTAACCTCATCAGCCTTGGCAAGTTGGGGGACGGTCGAAATAATCCGTTTGAGGCCAGCATAGTCACGCCGTGCAACTGCCAAGTGCGCAGGACTATGGGCATATTTAGACCAATCTTCCATTAATTTGATCTTCTTTTCTTTCGTGACTTCAACCAAAGCTATAGCTCCTCCATTTTTCTATTGAAATTCAAGCTACAAAACTCATACATCAGAGAATTCATACAAATTGTCCAATGAACGTCGGACAATTGTTTTAGGGTTTTATAAACAAGAAACCCCAGAAAGTCATTGGGCTTTTAGCTTGTCATTACTAAATTCCGCTTGAATATAAAGGAATATACTTCAACGTTACCAAACTAAACATTTGTAATGGTCAAATAAAGATAATCATACTTCAACAACCTGATCTCTACTCCAGTACAGCTGAGCTCAAATCTGTAAAAAAAACAAATATAGCATTAAATTATCGGTACAGATCCATATTCTGCTATGCTTTAACGTGCCATATGTNCAACCTGATCTCTACTCCAGTACAGCTGAGCTCAAATCTGTAAAAAAAACAAATATAGCATTAAATTATCGGTACAGATCCATATTCTGCTATGCTTTAACGTGCCATATGTGCATCAAAAACTAGAAAAAAATCGACCAAGAAGGGGCAGAAAATACCTGAAATTTTTGAATCGATTAAGAGCTTTTTGAGCAGCTGTTCGAGAGAGAGAGAGAGAGAGTTGACTCGATCCCTTTGGTGGTGGTTGTATTAGATTGTCTTCTTCTTCAGTTCACAGTCTCAGCTCGGATCTCTCTCTCTACTGTAGAAGTATCTATCTCTACAGCTACCTCATTCTGGTCTAATCCATCTGTGTTTCACAGTTTCAATTCTGTAAATTTTACTGAAATTCGTTCATCTCCATCAGATATTGAATCTCAGGGGGCCTGAATCTAAATGGGTTGTACAACAATCGACAAATAAAACTAATTAAATATCTCAAAAAAAAAAAAACTAAGTAAATTTAGAAATAAATTATCTAAGTTGACTAAAATTAATAAAGTTTGAAGTCAAAGAATTCGGAACCCATGCATATTGCATACACTGGCCTAAATTCACAGTTAAATCCATTAAAAATTTAATCAGTTTTAACTAACTTCAATTACTGTCAAATTTAAGGAGACCCTGAAGATTTTCTCTAGTCTTGATATCTTTTGTGATCCTATAAAATTACCGGTCGATGATTTAATGTACGGGTGTTCATGGCTGAGTCGAGTTAGGATAGAAAATTTTTTTAGCGAAAATTAGAAGTGAGTCTTTTAGATGTATTTGTTTAGAGATAAGTGCCGTAAGAAAACTTTTAATGGATTAAATTCATGTTTAAAATTATATGTAACGACTTAATTTCAATATTATTGAGTATGTTACTGCTTTTGTTGAATATGTTACTGTTCATGTACTATTATTTTTACGCATGTTACTGTTTTTGTTGACAATGTTACTACTATTATTTTCATAAATATTAATATTCAATGTTACTATTTTTTTTTTTTTGAATATTACTATTTTTTGTATTTAAATGATACTATTTTTTGCGTTTGAATTCGAGATAAATAATTATTATTAAGTATGTTACAGTTTTTGTTAAGCATGTTATTATTTTTGTTGAAAATGTTTATATTTTTGTTTAACATGTTACTGTTGTTATTTTTTAAAAATATTAATATTGAATGTTTCAATTTTTTTTATGTTTAAATGTTATTATTTTTTGGTATTTAAATGTTTTATTAAAAGTTTTGTATTATTTTTTGCATTAATTTTTTTTTGTATTTGATATATATATATATATACACACACACATATATATAACATATATATAGATAGATAAGAGAGAGAAAAAATTTTAATGTTAGTCAAACTCTTAATCTATATATGGAGATAGATAGATATGAGAGAGAAAAGATTTTAATGTTAGTCAAACTCTTAAGACTTAAGACTTTTTAATTTTTAGTTTTATTTCACTTCTAAAGGAAATGGATAGTATGGTAAAATTGACAAAAAACGTACTTCATAACAAATAAATTTCTTTCACGGACTTAAGTCCAACACAAGTCCATATAGAGGGACCGGCCTCCAAATTTTTCAATTTTTTTTGGGCGGGACTTGGGTAGTGTAGGCTCAAATTCTTATCCAAGCGAGTTATCAAGCAGATCGAATCGGGCTTCGGATAAGGGTAACCTACCCACAATCTAACTCGCGAGCCTATTGCGCGATCTTTCTAGGCAGGCTTGCTTGCGAATTTTTTTATATACAACTTTATTTAAAAATAATAAATATTTTTTGAATAAAAATTAGAGTCAAAATAGATAAAAATAAATTAATGAATAATTTTATTTTTGATTAGAGAATGAACTACATCAAATAGAATGATTGCATCTCAACTAGGTTGACACCTACTCACTTATCTATCATTTTCATTACTTTACCATTTAAAACTTGTATGCTTAATATATAGAACATAAAATAATACATTATTTATAGTATCTAAATTTTTAAAATTTCAAATTATAACAATGGAAGACTTATTTTAAAGTTTTAAATTTAATGGTCTAAAAATATAATTTTTTTTCAAATGAAGGGTGGGCGGACTAGGCTTAGGGAGTGGGCTCCTGGGCTGGGTTTTAAAGGGTTTTTTTCAGGCGGGCTATTGGGGCGGGCTTCAGGGCGGGTAATGGGTTTAGGGGCAAATCCAAACCCTCTTTTTAAGGATATTAGAATCGGGATTTGACGAACCAACTATCGGGTCTATCGAATTTTGGACCTATTTTTTTCGGGCTAGACAACGGGACCCATGAGTAAACCGGTCTATGGACACCCCCTAATTCAATGAGTTTTCTTGATTTGTACAATTGAATAATTGTTTACTATTATTTTTTTTTTTGTACAGATATTCAGGTTTGTGTAGATTATTCTCTCGAGCTCTCAAGCGACCACCGTAACTCCATAAGGACATATTCCCTAAGGAACAAGAGTGGTTAACCCTTAGGGGATATGAGAAGTATTGAATTTAAAACCTCTTGCTTGCAACTTGTAAGATGACATACTTAACCACTTGATCACCCCTAAACGTTTTGTGATTGAATGATTGAACTAAGCTAAATTGACAAAATTTGCAATGTCTCTCTCCCAAGAAATTTGTGAGGGACTTGATAGGAACAAATGATTGGTTTGACCCACAACCCGCCAAATAAATTTTTAGAAGAAAGATAAAATTTGTTGACCCAAGCCCGGCTAGATCGTGGTGAGGCAAACGACGTGCTTGATAACCAAGTTTGTGTAAGTGCTCGCTCTGTTAATAAAATTGTGGTACTCTGTAGGGCCCAACCCAAGAAGTCAACTAGAAGTATACTCACCAAGTTTTTGGTTTCTAGTCAACGTAGGACAACATTTATTATGCTACACCACATCATGCTTAGTTTCTTCTATCCATTCAAGTGAGTCACTTTGAAATATAATTTCTCATTCAATACTTAATTATGTTAAATAAGCAAATATACCACGTTAATCTCTCCGCTGGGAAAAATGCGTTTAATCATGCTCTCATTAATTTCGAGGTATGATTCTCATTTTTATTTAGGCCCAAAGTTATTCCAATGTAGCATATTTATGTTTCCCTAGTTGTTTAATTTTTTTTAATACCTTTTAGGATTCCTTTGTGCTCCTTTTTCCCTTTCTTTTTCCATATTTTTTTGATGATCACATTGTTACTATTTATACCAAATATTCAATGCTTATTAGTGATTTTTTTTATACTTTATCAAATTAAATCAAACGTTTATGTAAGCAAATTAATGAATTGAGAATATTTTTTGTCTTCTAATTTTATCTACTATAACATAAAATATGTTATTTTTGTAACTATTATATAATCTTTTAGCATATTTATTATTAATAATTATATGACTAGTTGAACCAATAACCTATAACCTAGTCTATATTGTTAATCCATTTCAAAAGTGTTAATTATATAGAACTCCATTGAATTTAGGGTTAGTCGCATACTAACCCCTAAATTGGTACATGTTGCACCTAAGTAATGAAATTCGTAACTCTGACAATGCTTTTGTTACATGGTCTAAATAAAGAATGTGAGATGTGATTAGGGAAATTATATGTCCAGAATAAAACAGTTTTATCCTTCATTAGATTCTAAAGAAGGAATGATTAAAAAAGGATTATAAAAAGCCCAGAGCTTGTGTCATCTCTATAACTAAGCAACTCTACCAAGCCCCCTATCTCTCTCTTCCCTTGCCTCAATCATCGCTGCCTTTCCACTTTTTTGGCCTTTGGTTAATTTCC